TAACAGGTGCCGGTTTATGGTTTTGACCAGTCTTATTTCCTTCTTTTCTACCATAGTTTACTGTTTTTTTGAAAAAAGTTTGTTGTGATTTTGGTACAAAAGATCGTTGGGAAGAGTATTGGTATTGCAATTTTTTATTATTTAAGATTATGATGAATTTAGTTTAAAAACAATCTATTTTACTACTATTATCTTCATATAAAGGTAACTGTTGCATGATTAATTATTAATTATACTTACGATTGATTTATTAATTATCTTGGATCTCTTATAACATCCTAAAGTAAAATAATATTTGGCTCTCCAACCAAATTTTGCAAACTCTTAATATTTTACTTGTTCTTTACTAGTTTTAGAACTTTAATCACATATTTTTTATTGTCTATAATGTTAACTCTCTTAAATACCTCAGAATACTAACTTTTTCAAATACTTCAAAATATTTTAAAAATAAAAAAAAATTTTAAAGCTTTAGACAAAGAACATCTTTAGATAAGTTATCAACGTGTTGGTGAATTTTTGTATATAATTATTTTTTGCAGTTATTTGATAATAATATATTAGAAAGAGTATTTAGATTACTATTTTTATCAAATTTGATATTATGTAATAATTAAAAAGGAGTTTCTTCTCTATCTAATTTTTTTGAAGTATAAACTTTTCCAATTTCATAGCTATTAAATCAAAAATGGTAATATTGTTTTATATTTGGTAAAGTTGTAAAGTTATTTTTAAAAAAAGCACTAAAATCGTGCCAAACCTATTCTTTACTATTTTTATATTAAACTGCTTTATTTTCTCTTGATGAACTATTTACAATATTTTCAACATCGTCAATAATATTAATATGATTATCTTTATAAACTTTTTTAATTTGTTCAAAAAATAAGTTGCAAATAAATTTTGTGTGACTGAAAAGTATAAAGTTAACAATGATTTTCTCATACCAATTTAATAAATATAACCAAAACCAAAACCAAAGCAATAGGTTATTTTTATTTTGACTGCTATAGTTATCGCAAGTAACTTGTAGTTTTTTTTTTTTTGAATTTTTTTTGAAGAAAATAATAAATCATATTTAATATAATATTAGCCTCTTTTGAAACACCTTTGGAAAATTCATTTTTACCAATTAAAAAATTTAACTGATAATTTTGCTCGCCAGTTTTACAGACACCAAAAATATGTACAGAAAATAAAATTTTAAAATAAAGCAAATCTACTTGTTGTGGAAAATATGATATAGAAACATTTTGCACCCAATCATAACAGATATGTATAATATCTAAATTATTTTTACTTTTTTCAATATTATTATTATAATGTTGTTTTTCAAGATCCATGGCTTTCTTATGTTCATTATACTCGGCTTGAACTTTATTATATTCATCGATATCTTGTTTTGCAGCTAATAATTTGGCTTTAAAGAAAGTGCAAACTTCACAAAGATCACTTGCAAGTAGCTAAAATCAAAGATTTGAAATTATTTCATACTATAATTTTCTAGAAGTAAAATAAGAAATTATTTTTTCAGATTGATCATGTATAAGATAAAAGTGTTTTTTATATTCATTATAAACTAAAGTATAAGTTTGACCAGTTGAGAGATAAATAAAAACACCAGAATTATCTTGATACCGTAATAGAGGAGGAAATCCATGAATTACTCCATATTGGATTAAAAATTGTTTAATAGGAAATGTTATATTATAATCTAAAAAACTTTTAATTCTGTTTTAGAAGCACGTCTGGCATTCCCATAAACATGTTTAGTTAATCTATTCAATTGTAAATGATTTTGTAAAGTAGAAAATAAGTAATTGCTAATTCTATATACTGTAATTTTAAATATAGTCATCTCCTTCTATAGTTACCCTCTCTATAATTACATTCTATAAAAACCCTTTTTTATTATATTTTATACTCAAAAACAAATTACTATTAAATATATAAAAAACCACCTCTATATAAGTACAACCTTTTTATAAGCACATTTTTTAAAAAAGTTATTAAGTAAACAAAATGTGTGATTATAGAGGAGAATAACTGTATACTGGCTTACAAAGAAGTAAAAAATTATTGTAATTATATTTATATATATGTTTATGTGTTTTATTCTTTGACTTTTCATCACTAATTTCAAATAATATTAATTGTGATTTTATAAAAAGTTTAAGTTTATATTCTTCTAAAGTTTTTAATTCAAAATGTCTTTCAAAAAACATTTAAATCTTACTTTTTCAAAACAAGTTCTAAAGCCTTTTTGTTTTGGAGTTTGATAGCAAGTACAATTATTAGAATTTTCAAAAAATAATTTTAAATCATGAATAGTATCAAGAACTAGCTCATTTTCTTTATAATCATCTAATTTTAATTGAACCAAATTATAAACAGGCCTTAAAGTATTAACAACTAATTGTTGAGACTTTTTTTTTTTTTAAAAAAAAAAATAAATATAGTATATATAATAAATATTTTTATAAGGAACAATTAGATTATAAATAGCATCTGCACTTTCAACTAAGTTAATATATGCAAGGTAATTAATTAGGAGTTTGCATTAATAAAAATATATAATATAAATATATACATATATAATAACAATACTACTTATATTATTATTATTTGAAAAGTAGATAATAGATGAAGTTCTTAAAACTTTAAGGTACTGGCATTTCTTTTCTTTTATCATTTATAACAATATTCTATGTAGCACAACAAGTATTATACTTGTAGAATTGATTCTATACTCACCAAATACTATATATATGCCTAACATGATAATTTTATACTGGTTAAAAGTTTACCTATAAATTAGATATCAAAATACAAAGTTTTTGGCAATACAGAATTTTACTAAGGAATTATGTTACAATGAGTACATAAAAATAAAAACCTGTTGCTTACTATATTAAACTATTAGTAGTTATATATTTTCTCTCTCATACACTCAAATATAACGATAAAAAAGTAATTTCAGACAAGAACAATTGCAGTTGTAAATGCAGGCAGACACAATATATATAAAGCTTTAAAACAACATGTATATTACTTTAATACACTATCTTATATTTCATATTATAATAAATTACAAATTGATCTAACTAAACTGATCATAATTGTCTTTGTATTACTGTAATTTTTCTCTTATAGAATTCTGGTAAGTAAAATTTATTTTTGCTTAATAAAATTGTAAGAATTACCCAAAATTACTTGAGAACACTTTCATGATCTACTTCTAACGCTAAGTTAATATACATATTAGTTAATACTATAGAGAATAAACATTTTTAAACAAATAACAATAATTTAGTTATAAAGGTTAAATCAAAAAGTTTAAGAGAATATTAGGTATTTGATATAGATTTTTATAACAATCATTAAAGTAGTAACATGTGATAGTAGTGTTCTTTTATGATTGGATGACGATTAAATTTGTATAATAATGTCTTATAGAGTTATTTTCAAGTCAAAATCTATAGTAGTATAAAACCAGTCAAATAAATAAGTACAGCAAAATATTTATCTAATCAAATAATTTTCCTGCCAAATTTAGCAAAAAGATTCAAAACTCCTATTATCTGCTTTAATATTAAGTTAACAGAGTATAAAATTTATATCAAATAAACTTCATATCTTATAGATTAATATTTAGCAAAAATCTAATTTTTGGTCTGGGGAACCCCAGAACCCCATTTTCAAAGCAAAACCCTAAATATGCTTTAATAGCCTAGAAATAATAAATTTAATTGGCTAATAATCATATGATTATATTTATAGAGAGAATTTTTATAAGTGGGCCAGGCAATTAGTATGTAATTACAAAATAAAAACATGTATTTATTTATAAATCCTACTATAAGACTAATATTCTATAGTATTATGTATTTAAAAAGTTATTGTATTTAGAGAGTTGTATTTAAAGAGGTTTAACTATATATATAGTAATTTATAATTAGAAATAATTTAGATTTAACTAAAGATAAAATTTACTAGTCTAAGAATTTTTAAAGTTAGAGTGTAGTTTTAAGATAAAGAAGAAGTTTTATGTAATATAATTGTTTGGAGCGAAGCAACAAACTTATATTTCTACACTCTTTGATAACCAAAATTACATTTTTGATAATTTATAGTAAAAATATTAAAAATATAGTTTTGGTATTTTCCGGATATAACACCTCTGAAAAATTTGATTTATATACGTATATAACAAAACTTTTTAGAGGCTAAAGCGAGCTCCAGACTTATACCGGTTTCCAGTTCTTAGTATAGATTTAATATAACAGTTACCTTATAATTTACAGTATTTAACAACCAATAAAAATACATATACAACTTTTATTTATTTGAAAGTCTATACTAGCTACTACAGTATATATACCTATAACTTAACTAAAAAATTATTTATTTAAACTCTTTAGTTGTTTTACCAATTATATTTAATATAAAATTTGCATTTAAATTACCTGGTTTAATCAGGTAAAAAAACAAATTAAATTATTATTGATAATAGCATAACTATAAAAAATTGCAAAAATTGTACATACAAATCTTCTAAATAAGTTGAATATTAATTCTGATACTTTATCTTGCAAGTGTTCAAATTTGCACTTTACATTTGTTTAACTATCAATTTTGCATATACAACCGGGGTCGACTTACCTGTGCTGATTTATAGTACATCAGATCAATATAACCGATATACCGCTTACTATAAAATTAATAATAAAATCTAGTAAAAAAATTTACTATAATGGTGAAATAAACTGAAAAAAGTATTTACTCTCCAAAACCACCGACAAAATAAATATCAATCACTTTTAATCGATAAAAGTTAAATTCATGCCCTCTGCCGGGAATCCTAAAATAAAGTAAGTATGTGCATATCATGTGATATAGAATAACAATTGATAACATACCAACTACGCGCTCGTGGATGCTTTTTCAAGAAGCATTTCTGTACTGCTGGGATCTAAATTTGTCAATAGTATTCAATAACAATTACTTCAAACGAATAATAATTTCTGAAGGATAATATTGAAAAAATACCTCATCTTTTTCAATCTTCACTAATTTGCCAAACAAATTTAATCTTGGTTCAGCCATTGGAAAGTAGGTTTCATTTTTACTGAACTTTTGGATCATCAATGATACTTTAAAATCATTTTCACGAGCATTTTTGACATTCAACTGAAAAAAATAATTTTGTTACAAAATCTGTATAACTGTTTAAATAATATATAACAGCAATAATACCTGATAATCAGACAAAAGCATCAAAGGATTACCGGATGAAGGGCAGTCATCAGAATAATAGTCAAATAGACCAAATGGATACCCTTTTAACACGATATTTTATAAGTTAAACTTTCGATTATCGTGATCAGGGTAATTGGATACAAGTAATACCTTGTAACTCTTCCTTTGCAAATTTGTTCATTACAGTTACTAAAGTTCCAGTTCCAGTATCGAACACTAAAGACCGCGCGACTATAGCAGCCTCTTGTTCGGTTTGTTTTTCATGAGCATTACAAACATTTATATCGGCATTGTACAAAATAAGGGTAAGAAAGAAAATATAGCATTTAATTTGCAAAAGCAAGCTGAGCATATTAGAAGCCTGTTGAAAAAACTAAAGGGTTTGAACTTGAAATTCTGACGTTAAGCCATATATTTATAAATTAATTAGAATGTCGAGAATTTATTTAATACGTATCTGATATTATATGTAATTATCTTTTGTGCAACTTTAATTTTGGTAAGAATCATCGTTATCTTTGATGTAGAATTCATCCTGTTATCAACTTGCCTCCCGTAATAACGGTTATTCTTTAACGATACCTATAATGGAAACACACACCTCCGAAAAAAAACAGCCCGCATGCAATTCGAACAAGTCTACAAAACACAAGTCATCTGAAAATATTAAAAAGCTTAAAGAACGGATCGTTCAAACCAATCAGTTGCTAAACCTTTTTAAAACGAAAGAAAAAGGTTATAGCTTTTTCTTTATCTCGTTCTTGCAAGTTCATTTGATATGTCTTTTTGACTTTCGTTTTGAACACTGCCTCCTCAGAACTTGCACAACACAAAGAAAGTATTGCATCGCTTGAAAAAAATCAAACAAAATCAAAAGCACAGTTAGCATTACTAAACAAAGAAATTGAAGTTTTTCGTAAAGCCGCCCAGCAATTTCGCGCCGAAGCTGAAAATTTAAAGCAAGAGTTGGATCAAAAAGATGTTCAATTAAAAGATCATTCTACGATGACAATTGAAATTAAACGGCTTCGATCCGAAAATGACAAATTAGGAAAACGTGTAAAATCACTTGAGGTAAAAGGATCCGCTATGTTTTTTTTTGCATGGAGATCAAAGTAAAGTTTGGTTAGCTATAAGAGATAACTATTTAATTTTTAGATCCTAAAGGACCAATTGGAATTTAAAGTACAAGAAAGTGATGCTACGAACGATATACGAGAAAATCAAAAAAAAGAAATTTCTCGATTGAAAAAAGAACTTGAAAAGAAGTAAGCTTCTCATAAATTTCTTTGAAAATACTAATCTACAAGAAAGGAATAGCTTTTATCAAATATTGAAAAAAACGATATAATTGACATATTACTATATATTTCAATGGCAAATTTACACTATTTATAAAGTAATTTGATATTCAGTTTATCTTGCGGTGCTAATATTGCACAACCACTATGCTCCGTCGGGCCCCTAGTATTGCACTATTTCTAGGTGACCTTTGAAATATCTTAAAAAAATTTAAGGGTTAATACATTGAGTTTTCTTTCCTTTTGTCTCTGATAACTAATCTTAAAATTTTATAATGATACAGAGACGATTTATGCAAAAAAAGCCAATCTGCAAAAGAAATATTAGATACAAAAGTTAAAAAACTTCAAAAAGAAGTTAATAATTTAAATGAGCTATTGCTCGAATATAAATCTGAAACAAATACATTAAGAGATGAAAAAAATGAAAAAGACACAATTATCGAATCCTTAAATCAGCAACTGGAAGATTTAAGTCACCAAGCAACAAATGTTGATGAATTGAAACAAGATATTAATGAACTCAAAATCCAAATACAGGCGGCTCATGATGAAAATATAAAAAAACAACGAGAATGTAGTCAGCATTCCAAAGCACTGTGCAAACTCAAAAGACAAAACACTAGCATTGAAGAGCTGAAGCGTGAAAATCTTGATCTTCAAAATAAACTACAAGAAGCTCACAAACAAATATCAAACATATGTAGTGAAAATAACATGTCTGGAAATGTCATACACGAAGAAAGTAATACCAGTCAACATGTTATTGTGCTGGTAAAAGAAATACGATCTTTGAAAGATGACATCAAAAAATTAGAAATACAAAAGGTAATTTTCAATCATAATTTCTGACATTTAAATAGATTAATTATTAATTTTATCAATTCATGTTTATCTATAGAGGGCTTTACAAGATCTCGTAACATCACAGCAAGTTGAGATTTTACAGCTACAAACGTCCAGAAAATCAGATGCATTTGCACGCGTCAATGTAAGTTAACTCATGAATTATTTTTTAAATAGTGAATTTTGATTATTGATGGAAAACCTTACCTCGTCGAAATCAGGCCATAGAGGCACTGTATAGTAAACCAACTAGTGCAATATTACAAGATCAATCATTTCAAACGTCTTCTGTTTGTGATGCAACAGTGTCTCCTATCACCGATAATACAGAAATTGGTTCTAATTCTTCAACGGTTGCGGATGCCGAAAATTTAATATCGCAAGTAAAAGAAATAAATCGAACAATCGCCCCACAAAGAAAAGTAAGCCAAATAAAAAAGAAATCTATTGATCAGCCTGCAGCAAAAACAAAATTAACTGAAGAAAAAAATCAAAGAAGAAAAAGAAAGAGCCTTGACGAAACTACATCATCCTCACCAAATATGAATCTTAAAATTAAGACAGATTCATTAAAAAGGAGAAAAACTGTTAATAAACCTAGGACTAAACTGAAAGTGACTGAAATATTAAGTCATATTGACGATTTGGCTTGTAAGTAACTAAAGTTTTTGTAATTCTGATATGATTATTCGTAATAAGTAGTAACTTTTGTAAACAGTCATAAAGGAAAAATTATTTGATTTTGGATGTCCTTCTCAAGAAGCGATTCGGTCGATTGACGTATTTCGTCAATTTGCATTTGAGAAAAGTCCTGTTCTTTTTCAAGCAGTTGATGAATTGCTCCATTACATAGATACACCTTTGTATCTAGGCGATATTTATAATAACGACCAACTGAAAATTTATACACGAGTAAATTCTCTTTCCATACAACTACCTGCTGTATTGCCTTCAAAAGAAACAAACGTAATACTGTTTTTATGGCTTCTATTTGTCGAGTTTCCATCGGTAATTATTCCAAAAACTTTTTATAATATATTGATCGTCATTATTTCTCTAAAAAATCATTAAAAATTTATTAATGTGGTAGAGTAAATTGATCGATAAGATATTGCTTTGGGCTAATGAAAAAATCATGGTCGCAGGAATTTTAGGAGAACCACTTGATTTGGCGTATTTATGGTAAATAAGAAAAAAAAAACTTCCTTTATCAATTATGTTAATATGCATGTTAATAAAATTTACATTTTTTTCAGCCGTCTATATCGTATATTCGTTGCATTTTGCAGAATTATTAATGATATTCAGCGAGCTCGCACGTTATGTTATGATATCATGCGGGAAAAAACGAATAATGACTCAATTCATTATTTCATGGAAAACACTGCTAGAATATGGCCAAATGTTCTTAAGTTCACAATTAATACTAGGAAACTAGAATCTTTCGAAATAGGTTTGTACTTTAGGCACATTGTTGTTTAATTAGATAAATTGTTAATATTCATACTCTTACTCCTACTTCTGTACTTTTAATTTGTTTAGATGAGTCATTTGTGATACGTACTATAGAGAGTATTATTGCTGGGATAGTTCTTGAGAAGATGCACGATGAATCGGTATATACATGATTTTAAATATTGTTAATTTTTGTGAATTGTACTTATAAAGTCAAAATCCAGGTTTATAAACTTTACAATACCTTTGTTCGGCTTTGCTCTTGGGATGAACCGCACCAAGCTCCATTCTTGAAAGAAATTTTACAATATTTAGCAGAAATCTTGAACTCTGAAGAATTTCATAATAAATGCTGTAACGAATATGATCAAGGTAGATAGTCCGACCCATATCGTTAGTTGAAGATCTGTTTTTTTCTATTTATATAACATGTTCTTTAGAAAAATTTCAGGAATACCGTTTCAATCTTGTAAAGTCTTTTGAGTTAGCTGCTTGTTGGTGGTGCTGGGATGATGTGCATTCGAGATATGTTTCAAAAATTTTATGGCCATTGGTAAAGAATGAAAAAGGAAAGGATATTCCGTTGGAGATTATTGGTGCAGTTTGCCGTCCACGATTGTTTGAACAAACAGAAAAGGAGGGTGTAGCCGAAATTAGGCGGCGAATGAAAAGCGCGCTGAACCCACATAGCCCTGGTAAGTGTTGTATGTTACACTCTCATGATCATTACTGCAAACACTTAATACATTCAACCTTTTGTAGTGTCTTTTTTATTACAAGTCCAGTCTGCACAAGTATTGATTAAGCTCGCTAACGGTGATCCAAGGCATTATCGTGATATCCTATCTTGGTATCTGCGATTGGAAAATGACAAAGTGCAACAGTTACCACTAGGGTTGGTAAAATCCTTAGGTCCGGGACTTTAGGACCTGGTCTTTAAAAACCAAGTCCAAATTTAAAAACCTAGGGTCCTTAGGTCTTAAAAAGTCCTAATATACAAATTTATAATATATAGTTTAAAATGAAATTATAATTTATTAAAAATAACAAAATTCATTTCAACTGCAAATTTTTGCTATTGCATAATTCTGGACAGCCTAACCGCATAGTTTAATGTATATACAGTAGTTCACATAATCGTTATTACACATTCTAATAGGTAATGATGTGAAGGGGTAACGCGAACTAGCCGCAGCAAAAAAACGTGATCTAAGCCGGGCATTGATTGAAAAAGCGAAGGCATTTAATAAATGCCAATTTGAGTTTGGCTTGAGGCGAAGCTCCATTGAAGAACAATAGTAAGTCGCCTCTATGGTGGGAACTAAAATCATAGTCTTGTAAATGAGTATGAATTACTCACCGTTAGTCATAGATTCCCTCTGATACTCTAAATAGTCATATTGCTTAGAAATTCTAATCGTAGTAGCAAAGCCCCAAAGATCTCTGTAATGTATAAATAAATAACCATCGATTTCATGTATCTGAAAACAAGTGAAGTGTTATAATAATAAAGACCATCTAATGATAAACTCC